ATTTCTCCCAGTCCTCCAGCAGCCAATCAGAAGCCCAGCTTTCTGGCCCAGTGGCTGCAGAACAGGAAAGAGCAGGTAAAATCTCCATCTAAACATGAAGCCTTTATTATTTTATAGGCTTTTCTTGGTTTCCAAGCATGTGTATCCATAGGAACCGAAACAGACAAGGTTTTTGAGTGTCCAGTTCGGTTGCTGGGGAAGAAAGACAGTTCACATTTCAGTGTGATAGCATTACATGACTTGAAGACACCTGTTAACTCATGTTCCTGTCATACTCTCCATTGTTCTGCTCAGGTTAAAAGCTTTTTGGCAAAGCGGGGGCTGATAGTGTATTTATTTAACAAGGTAAGGTTAAGCATGCATTATCTGAACGAAGGATCTGTTCTGCGGCCACATGTTGCTTCAATGACAGATTTTTAGTTACGCAAATCATTAATGCATGTGTCTGCATGATTAAATTAGCACCAACAACCACTAATCTCTCCTGCACTGCTAGTTGTGTTTAGATGGTAGTGTTACGTAATTACGACTCCGTTTACACACAGTATTAAGTTAATAAAAGAATGACGTTTTATAAATTGCTTTACAAAATTACTTTTTACTTGCTTAATAAAAAAAAATCCGCCTTTGTCCATTTTTGTTGGTGTGTTATGATATATAAAAACTGTGGATAAACTGGGTCTGTATTAGGGATGCACTGAATTGTAAATTCTGGACCAAATCCAAAAAGCTCAATATGGACTTGGTCAAAAACAGAAAATGCATATGTAACAATTCTAATATTGCATTTCATTATGTAATTTTAATACAAAGAAAATTTGTGACATTGTTTAGCAATTTATATTAACAGGCTTAATGATGAATATTAATCTATAAATTAATATAAAACAGTTAAACTATAAATTTGCTATTTCTTTTTACATGTTAGTTTATGGTCTTGTATTCATAATTAAGCTTATCATTATAAATTGCTAATTAATCTCACAGATTCATATAGTGACATTCATATCGCAACACATGTGCCCCTAATTATTTTTTTAACAGAATTAAATGTAAAAAAAATCTCAAGTACACAATTCTCAAGTAATTATTTAACTTGGCAAGTATAGTTAATCTTATTTAATCATTTTAAAGAAAAAATAGACATGCATGTTTTTGTTTTCTGTTGTTTTTTTTTCGGTGCATCCCTAATTTATTGTGGGTTGTAGTTCTATAACATCTTCTGTCCCTGAGCTGTCAGGTGAAGGTCTTCATTTTGAACCTTTTAGTGTGTCTCTGTACCGAGTTTCTGGAAAATAAATCACATTGCATCAAAACTGTGTTTACGGTAAATTGCAAAATAGTTGTTTTTCTACCTTAATATACTCGAAATATATCAGCAGGTTTTAAATGCATTATAAATGGGTATTTTTGTTTTGTTTTGTGTACGTTTGTTTTGATTTATTTATTTTCAACAGAATATTATACACTTAAAACAATTCTTCAAAAGTACATTTTATCTAAAACAACAATGTTTGCTTATCATATACACTTTAAGTAACAAATGAATTTAACTGGTTTGAAATGAAGCGAGATAAAGCAAAAGCTTATTAATTTCATTATTATTATTAAAAGTGGCTTTAAAGTATAAGTCACATGACCTGTCAGAGTCCTGGGGTCTGTTCTTCGTACCTCGCTTAAATGATTCTAAGATAAATCTTGCTAACTTGTCTCTAGCTAATTTGGTTCTTCTAATATGTGAATCAGATTAAAATGTTAGGATGAACTGATCTGAGATCGCTGCGTGTGTTGTGAAGCAAAGATCTATTCTCGAAATCATTATCAGCAATGCAGCTTAATGACATCATCTGAATAATATTCATTTATATAATACATAAAATTCATAGTAAATGATTTGTTAAATATGATTTGCAATAACTTTACACATTTGTTTTGATATTTAGCAATTTTATTTAGTTTTAGAGCGGGTTTTCTTTATTATAGCAGCCTAGGCCGATTTTAAGTTTCTTAATCAACAAATTTAAATAAATTTTTTGTCAAAAAAGCCTTTTTACTATTGTTAAAGGTGTCTGCAGTTTCTGCAAAGCATAAAGTCACTGTCATATTAGCTACCAAAACATGTGCATGACTGCATAAATTACTATTCCTTTAAAAAACAAACAAAAAACAGTTGAATATTGTGCTTGTTTATTGTCATACACAAATTGTAAAACTTGGTGGGTACTTTAAAATAGGATGCATTTGAATCTACAAAAAGTCCATATTAATAAATGTCCAGTTTGAACCGCTTGGGGAGAACCACCCATTTTGTATCTTTTTTTTTTAGTGCAGATTGCATAAGATATATATATATATATATATATATATATATATATATATATATAGACATAAATATTATTAATTATTAAATAATGACTATTTATTATAAATGATAAATGTCTGTTTATAACTTTTTTTTTTAAAAACTATTTTACTATTTTCCCAAGTGTGTATAATTAATAGGTTACTACTGTAAGAAAATATCAGCATTTGGTACATCCTTTCAGTATCATCTTATTTGAAATGAGCCGATCTGATCCTGTTTATATGAAATAAACCTGCTCCCAGGTTTAAGCTACTGGAACTGTTGCTATGACAACAACTCTCGGATGAGTTTTTAAGATCAAAACGTCCCTGAATCATGTCAAATCGTCAATAACTAAATCCAGCTAATTGAGTAATTCACGTACGAAGAATGGACCCCTGTTTAGACCGTGATTGTTTATTATTAGGGTGTGTGTAAAGAGAAGTATAATGAAGGACAGCGCACATGGATCACTCTCACTGGGTAATCTGAAATTGAGGGTGCTCTAGCATTAATCCAAATCTGTTTACTTTGATACAATATTTTTGGTTTTGTCTATTATGATTTTTAATAATTATTGCATTTATATGCAGACTTCACTCCCAAAACTTAGCCCTGTATATGATCGTTTCTATTAGCCGTGTTAATACCAAAGATTTTAAACCTATTAAATCATCATGAATCATTTCATCACTGAGGAACAGTGTAGATTTTACCCCATAATAAATTATTTTTGTCTGAATAGGGATTTATATTCCAGAAATACTTTATCTGTCTGTCTGTCTGTCTGTCTATCAAGTTAGGTGTTTAGAGTCTGCGCACATTTATTTGAATATTTATTTTAGATCCCTGAAGTTTATAAAATGTCTCAATCAAGCTGCTTTTCATAATCAATCGTTTCTATTGAGCAGCTTCCAGAAGCCTCAAGCCAAGCTCTGTTTGCTGACAGCCAGGCTCATATCTGGGCTCTTCAAGGTTAGAAAGTAGTGATACAATTTATCAGATGCCATCTTGCATTCTTATCTTTAATATTTAATATTGTTTTTATTTATTTGTTATATGTTTTCTTTGTATAGGACTATCTCATCTGGTGGCAGCCTCTTTCTCAGAGGATCAGTTTGGAGTGGTGCAAACAACATTACCCAGCATTCTCAGCAGCTTGGTAGTCTTGCTTGAGGTAAAATAGGGGTAATTTATAGAATGTTAAAGCTGGTGGCTACAATCTTTAAGCTGCTACAAACTCCCAAATATGGTAATTGTTGTACATAAGACCACCATGCTGACATTGATAAAAGTCTTATACAGTGTTTATTCATTTGATTTATTTTCCTTAAATCATTTTGCAGTTTAATTTGTAAGTATTAAAACACTGTAATCCAGTTTTTTTATATTAATTTTCCATCAACAATATTTATTTAGTCAATTTATTTTTCATTTTATTTAATTAATAATATCAATATGTATGGACTTTTTGTTTTTTATAATTCTCCAAAAATTAGTTGAAACTTATTTATTTAAGGTGTTACAACAGACTGAGTTTAAATGGGGACACACTGATTGAGTTTGTTTATTCTGTGTTGTTAATCGTAGGCTGTTGACAGACATTTTAAGCTGCCTCATGCCTCCAGCAAACCAGCGAGGACCGTCTGCAGTATGGGTGACTCCACTTACAAAACTCTAAGGTTTGCTTTGAGAGCTGCACTGAAGACAGCCATCTACAAGATTACTACCACTTTTGGGGAACACTTGAAGTAAGTCTGTCTTTTGTAGTAAAAACATTTAGGAATTTTTTAAAATATATTTAAATAAAGTCCTGAACATCCCATTTCACAACTCAACAGCGGATGTTTATGCTCAATCTTGCTGTTTATTTTTTGTTTACAGTGCTGTGAATATTTCAACTGAACATAGAAAACGGCTTCAGCAGTTCTTGGAATTCAAGGAATAGAGCAGACAGCATCTTTATTTCAGACGTGTGTGTGAGGATGCAAAAGACAATATGCTTTACTCAAAGGATTGATTAATGGAATTTCGGCACTGTACATCACTTAAAGCCTTACAAACGTGTTGAACTTCACATTCTCGTCCATTCACATTCTTTAACTTTTACATCTTTTGTACACAATTCCACAGTTTGGGGATTTTTGTTTGTCTGTAAGTCTGGTGGGCTTCAAAAGCATGATGGGGAGTGAGATGATATGAAAATAGTGTCACCTTTTTCAGCATATTTAAATTTTATAATCTCTTAAAAAAAAAAAAACAAGGGAGAACACTTGCCTTTTTGCAGTTTTCATCTTCCATTATTATTTGTTCGTCGTTGTTTTGTATAAGTGATGTTTGTATTAGTTCTGGTTGGACTGTTCATTTTGATTTAATCTGGCTGCAAAATGCAAATATGAATGTGTTTGGATTTTTTTTTTGCCATGAGTATCAATTTGGTTATTTTGTCAATATTAAATTTTAAATGATCAGATACCTGAACACACTTTTAATAAACTTGTGTAAATGTTAAGCAAACGTTTGCAAAAAATGAGGTGCGAAGTGTACAATACCTATTATTTCCGACAGATGGCGCTGTTTGCTTTCTCACATGGCTCTGCACTAAAGAGATGTTTGAACGTTTATTATAAATTGAATGTACTTATTTTTTTATCTTATTGGGAAAGCATGAAGTATTTTAGAGACTTGTAGCTTCGTCCTGCAGTTCGTAAAGTGTTGTGCATAAAGTCGACAGTAGTCTTCATGGCTCATTTAATGCGTGACGTTACACTTTATGTGTCGAGTACGCTAATATCATTCGACGGATGACGAGCGCGTGTCACTGTTTTCTACTAACGTTAGTACATTGACGTTACCGGTTTACAAGAGAAGGCGGTTATGTTTTACTGTGTCGGTTTTTAAGAGGAAGAGATGAAGCAGCTGTTGGATTATTGGTTTGGTCTTCAGTACGCTGAGGAGGACTGAAGGATGGATGAGTTACTCCAGTGTTGTTTCCAAGTCCCATCAGTGGACTAACGGTGCTCCAAACAACGGGTGAGTTTATAATGACAGTTTACTAACGTTACAGTATAAGTTAACCTTAAGTTGCAGGATTATTATATCTCTGAAGTTGTAATTTATTTGTTGTGATCCCTCATTATCAGACATCCATAATTAGCCATCATATTTGTTGTATGAATGTTAGATAAAACATTTTAATGCTATTTCGTCAAAAATGTATATAGCATAGCCTAAACTAAACTGTTTGCTGCAGATGCTAACGTGAACTTACGACTTTTTTCCTTCGTATCATACCGTACAAAAATAGTGTTCGTTTTATTGTTTAATTTTTATCATTTATTTTGATAAATTATGTTTGATCCAACATTGTGATTAAATGTGGCTGTGCTTTCGGACAGAGATATCGCTAACGTTAGCAGTGTGATATTTTTTAGTCCAAGGGTGCTTTCACACCTACACTTTTGTTTCGGAACGTATCTCGTTTGCCCAGTTAGCGCGGTTCGATTGGCATATGTGAACAGGGCAATCGCGCTCTGTTCCGCGCCAAAGTAATCGCTCCGAGATCGCTTGAATGAGGTGGTCTCGGCTCGATTGAAACGAACCCTGGAGCGGTTCGATTGTAGTGAGAAAGCGATCCGATCCGAGCGCGGTTATACCACAGTGTTTTATGGATATGTAATAAGCTTACGGCTATATGAAGAGAGAATTATGAGTAGGGCGGGAAGTTTCGCGAGTCTCCGGATGCCCGCAAACGAGTGATGATCTCCCGGTAATCTCGCGTCTCTCTCCCAGTCCTCAAATAGGCATCGTCGCGCACCCTTCTCACCCCTCCCCACCGTGTCTCTCCTCAGACACGTCGCGCGCACCCTGTCAATCACCACCTAACCACCACCTCTCCTGACAGCTGAGCTGGAAGCTGCAAAATAAACCCTGACACTCTGACCAATGTAAGGAGAGTTTACTCGCACGTGACTTGTTTTAGCTCTTTTGGTCCGATTAGAAACTTTGCAGTGTGAAAGCGAACCGCTCCAAGAGCAAAGAGCAACAATGTAACAATTGTAATCTCTGTTTCGGAACAACTGAATCGATTCACAGGTGTGAAAGCACCCCAAGTCATTTTTTTAACATTCATGTTCGTTCATTGGTGTTAACCTACACTTTGAATTTCTTTAGTTATAACGTTAACTTCCTCCTTGTTCATGTTTTTGTGTTGATCTTTAGCTGTTACTTCAAATAAAAGTTTAGGATAACTTAAAAATCTGTATTATACAATATTAAAGTGAGGTGGTCAGTGAAGAACAGTGCACTTTAACGTATATTTGACAAGATGTTTGAGAAAAGTGAAAAACTAAGGTTTCCACGTGAAGATACGTGTTATTCCTGGTTATAATCTGTAAACTTTTACTTTAAAAGTCCTAATATCGCTGAGTTTGTGAATGGATTTGGTTTCTTTTCCACCTTTGTTTGGGTTGCAGTTTATGCAGAACTAAATGTAGATGCAATTGCCATTTTTTTGCAATTAAGTTTTCCCTCTTGGATTTTTCTTTCACTGTACATTTATTTATTACAGGATTTTATTTATTGGATATCTACTGAGCTTTAAACTGACACGTCATGATATAAAATGGACAAACAGATTGATTGTTACACTGTTGGTTTTAGTTATGTAACAAAAAAATGAATTATAAAATGATTCTTAATTTTGACAGTAAAGTGAGTCAAAACAATGTCTACAAAAGAAAAGAAAAGCATGTCTTTTTCCCGTATCAAGATGATACAGAGTTTCTAAAAAATTTTTGGCTGAAGAGATGCTTGCAACACAATGATTACCAGGGAATTAATTAAAGGGTTAGTTCACCCAAAAATTAAAATTTCTTTATGAATTACTCAACCTCATGTCATTTCAAACCCCTAAGACCTTTGTTCATCTTTTTTAAGATATTATAGGTAAAATCTAAGACTAAATGCCTTGGGTGGTTCAATCGTATCAAGCAATGAAAATATACTTTTGTTAGTTCGTAAAACAAAACGAAATCAGTGTCCATAGAGCTCGTATTCATGAGCACTGCATTGGTATAATAACCTGTCATTTAACAGAGGTTTTGTATTTTCCTCATACACAGAACACAGAGTACTACACCTTATCTCTTAAAGAAAACTATTTTCTTAGCAACACAATTTTAGAGACTTTTATTGGGTGATAAGTTTATCTGACTAAAATATTTTGTGCCTTGTACGTAACTGATCCAGCTTCATCTATCGCAGTCTAGCAGCTTTTTCACAGGTCTTATAATCTATATTTTCTGTGGTGATTTTGTGGTAAATTATTGTTACAGTGTTGTAAATCACTACAGTGACATGTCTTATTTTTTTGCCATTTAATACTCCAAAAAGTTGTCTTTTTAAACAAGTACTGCAGTGACTGTCAAATCCATTTTCATGTCCCTGTAAATGTCTTGAACGCTTTATTCCACTCAGGCTATTTGTATTGCTGTGGTTTGGGTTCGCTCTCAAACTTAATTGAATGTGATCACGACCGTGTTGACAGGGACCGTAAAACAGGACTTTAGCGTTCCTGCTGACTGCAGCTTAAACCGTTTAAAAAGAGCCGACCTCACATATTGGGCCATCGTGCATAAAAACCAAGATTCCATAAACTTTTATGGAATGTTGGGAAATATGGTCTGAGACCAACAAGAGCACTGTGGGGGACCATTGGATCTTTTTACAGCAACAAGCCCAAAAATGCCTGTCTTCGGAACACTGTTTTATTTGCGTGTGTATTTTACACAGTTTTGTCTTTTTATTCACTTTTCTTCCTTCACTTCAGTGGGAAAGGCTTATCATATTTCAAAGAATTATTTACATTAGGCAAATTTAAAGGAACTGAGGCTTGGAAACACAGGAGGGGGTTTTATATGGATGTGGGGCTTAAATGGAGAGGCAAGACTACATAAGAGGAGAAAAACAAAATAAAATTTTGATTTGGAGATAAAAATTGGTCTTTGATTTGGAGATAAAGCATTATTCTCTGTGGATACTTGATACGTACATTACATTAACATCAAAAAAAGATAAGTATCACTTAACAAAAACCAAAAGCATAACATAAGCATGAGCATCAAGTGTTGGCTTGAGGACAGGGTATATGGTAGGCCAGTTGCCAGGGGTCTTTTTATAAAAATGTTGCATAGAGACCATTACAAATTTGGTCTCAGGTAATTTAGCAAACGTGTGTGAATATGATGCGATGTGCATAAAAACTGATGTAAATGGGTTTAAGGGTGATGCCTTTTTTCATTTTCACAGCAGCAGCAGATGATTATGTATCTTGGATTTATAAACTACCTGGCAAAAGTCTTGTCTCCTATCCAAGATTTAGGAACAGCAAATAATAGCTTGACTTCTAGTTGATCGTTTGGTAACAGAAGTGGCTTAAATGAAAGGCAAAGGCCTCTAGATTACGCTTATTCTACCAAAATAAAATATGATCATGCCTTGATTTTTAATGATTTAATTAGGACAGTAAGGTCTGACTTTGCTCAGGCAAAAGTCTTGTCACTTAACAGATCAAATGTACAGTATAGAATATAAAGTCATGGTGCAGCAGAAAAATAATTAATCTAGTGTATGACTTCCATGAGCTTGGAGGACTGGATCCATCTCCCCAATGACTCAAATAACTTATTAATAAAGTCATCTGGAATGGCAAAGAAACCTTCCTTGCAGGACTTTTTTGCAAAATTCTTTGGATTCTTCTTTAATGCCTCCTTCATCTTACCCCAGACATGCTCAATAATGTTCATGTCTGGTTATTGGGCATGCCAATACTGGAGAATCTTTAACTTCTTTGCTTTTATGAACTTTGATGTGGAGGCTAAAGTATGAGGAGTGCTATCCTGCTGAAGAATGTTCCCTTTCCTCTGGTTTATAATGGAATGGGCAGCATCAATGTCTTGATACCTCAGGCTGTTGAGGTTGCCATCCACTTTGCAGATCTCTCGCATGTCCCTATACTGAATGTAACCCCAAACCATGATTTTTCCTTCACTAAACGTGACAGATTTTTGTGAGAATCTTGGGTCAATGTGGGTTTCAATAGGTCCTCTGAAGTATTAGTGATGATTGGAATGCAGTTCAATAGATTCCTCCTGCCACTTTTCCAAATGATCAACTAGAAGTTACAGCTGGGATCAACAAGATTTTTGTCAGTTAGTGTAGTGTCAGTTTATAATATCAGTGGACTGTAGCATTCTATCAAGATTAGACTATTAAAAGGTCAGTTTAACTTGCAAATACACTCATTAAAAAAATCTGAATACAATGCAAAATTTATTTTTTACACTCCATCTTTGTTGTTTGTGGATTTGGTGCATGTACAGTACTTTTATTAGATATTGCAGTACTACGATTTTGCCAGATGAAAAACTGTTCACCTGACCTGCTTATTTAAGTGTACACAAATCTGAGCGTACAAACCCTATTTTAAAACAAGGCACAGATGAGTTCCTCCGCAAATCCCCCCATACATTATGTTTTACAGTTTAACTCACATTTCACCTGGTGTATTGCATTTTATTAAATCAGTTTGATTACATTGTTTCTCATCAGATCTCAAGTTCCTTTTCACTGAAATCGTTTCCTTTTGTAAATCCATAATCACAGACATTTACTAGACCAGAACTAGAATAGTTTTATTGGAATAAGGAATACCAGTCAAAGCCAATTAACTGCATGTAATTTAAAGGGGTCTGGTCTGGTCTGTTGGCAGATGTTAGCAGTGTGGAAGTACTGGCTCCGTGTACCGTCCGTCCGTCCTCCATCGTCAGCAGACAAGCTGGATGTCCATGTCTGGTGGTTTGGATTCAACCACTGTCATTTTAGTGGAATTTCCTGGCTTCAGAGTTCAGCTGAGTTTTCTCACAGATTTGCACTTGCTTGTAAATGTTTGGACTGACAGGGTGCCGGTGCGGTCGCTTCAGTTCTCCAATGGTGCATCCTTCTGTCAGCGCTTTACTAACAGCCGCTAACGT